AGTTATATTTATTAGTTATTAATAAAAGAATAGTGGGTAAAACTATACAGGGTGAGTCTTAAATAACTGCAAATATTTTCTGGGGGTGGTATATTTCGACCCCAAGAACACGTCTATGAGGTTTCTTTTGCAAAAAAAATGTCAAAAATCGTGCATTTTCTTTTATATTTTCCTATATATTTTAGAAAACTTTTTAGAACTTCCTGTTCAAAGCAAATTTTCCCGAGGTATAGTTTCTTAATCTCTGATATTACGGCACGAAAAGAGATGCAAATACCGAAAAATTGAGGTGGCTCAAATTTTTTTTAAAATAAATCTTTTTTTTTAATTTTCAAACTTTAATAACTCGGTTGGACTGAAACACGGTAAAGAGATTATGTTATGTTTTTTTTTTATTAAGATCTACCAGCCCTCAAAATATTTGCGCTTATAAAGTCACCTTGAATAATACAAATTTTCAAACCGAACAAACAACAGATGTTTACTAAAATTATAAGTGCCTCAGAGAAAGACATCTTACAATAGTTATTTCACAAATTGGTGTTTATGTTTAAAAGCAACTGACGTTTATACTGATGCAAATTGATTAGTTAGTTATGGAGTCTCTAAGAATCTTACGTCAATTTAGTTAGAAGATTAACCATTTAAATTTTGCTAATCCAATCTTTTTTGAGCTCTGATCGGGACCGGCCGGCCCACCGGCCCATATTTCCACCGGCCCACCGGGAATTTTCCCGTTCTCCCATATGGCCCATCCACCCCTGAGTAGTGGCAATTTTTAAAAAGGGCGATGTGGATTGCTTCGATAATTAAAGACCAATTTCAATCATACCTGTGGTTGGTAAAGTCTTTGAAATGATTATTACATCTTGCATAAGTGACTACTTTTGAGTCTAATAAATTGTTAAATTAACCACAGTATGGCTTCAGAAAATGAATGTTTACGAAAATAGTGCAACGAGTGGTTGATGGATTTGAAGGGGGTGAACATGTCGATATGGTCTTGTGCGATCTTAGTAAGGCTTTTGATTGCATTTCCCATGAGCTTATGATAAAAAAGCTAGAGTATTAGGGGGGAAACCTCTGCGCCTTTTAGATTCTTATCTTTCACACATGAATCAATGCATTTCTTTAGACGGTACATTGTCAGAAGTTAGTCCGATTGAGAGCGGTGTCCCTCAGGGGTCCATGCTTAGTCCACTGCTTTTTATTATATATGTTGGAGGCAGATGCCGAATTTCGGATATGGCGATTTTTCCATACTAAACTTGCCAGGGGGTTAATTTTTTTTTGGTATAATATAACAACAAAAGATTAACACCCTCCGCATAGAAGTTAAAACCAATGCAATCAAAACTCTTCCGCGTAACTTTGTGGATATAGTTATATTATATATTTAATTATAATCGCCATATGTCTAATTTTCGGCATCTGCCTCCAACTTTCGGCATCTGCCTCCATATAAATGACTTATTCTCTTTTCTATCTCCGTATGGATGTGTTTGCTATGCGGATGATACCTCTTTATTGTGCTCTGGCAGCAGTATTCAGGATTTGCATCGGCATAGTAACAACATGATAAATAAAGCATCTCTTTGGTTTACTCAAAATTAAAAGTAAAGTAAAGATTTCAGTTAACGTCTCCTTTTTGCTGCCAGGGCTAATATGGACGGGCCCTACTATGTTTACGCGGAATTCGAACCGCGGTCCTCGGCCATATCATGGTCAATGGCCTACCGGCTTGGCAAGTGTCTAAATCGACTCTTACTCACGAGATATCCGATCTCATCCGGCCTCGAACCGGCGTGAATGAGCGGTGTGTGTCAATAGATTTTACACTTTTGCCTATTTTTGGACAACAGCACGATACAGAGTTTCGAACCGGTCACCCGTCCATCCACTAGTATCGCCTTACGTCGCTTAACTTCGGTGTTCTAATAGGAACCGGTGTTTCGATGTAGCTGGGCCGTTGTCCACTACTCAAAATTATTTAGTTAGATAAAGATAAAACTCAAGAAATATTATTTTCAACGACTAGTAGCAATGAAGTACAAACGGTTAAATTATTAGGACTCACACTCGATAGTGCACTCACTTGGACTTTTCATGTTGAAACGGTATGTAAGAAACTATCAACAGCTTTATTTGTAATGAGAAAAATGAAACCAGCCCTTAACCAACAAACACTTTTTAGGATCAACAAACACTTTGAGGATCTTTAGGATGCAAAAGACAGCTATTCTTGTATTGTGCTGGTTTTCGTGACCATTGTAAACTACTTTTCGTAAAATTGAAAATACATACATTAATGTTAATTATATATTCTTCAGCAACGGTTGGAGATACATAAAAATGAATCTTCTTTTACCCATAACTCGGACATTCATAACTATGGCACAAGATTGCAAGTTCAATAAGATCAAATAAATTTCGATTGTGTAAATCAGATAAGAACTATCGTAATGTAAAACTTTACAACGTATATTGTAGGTAAATTAAATAAAAGTAAACTGGTATAAATTTAAATAATTCCATAAACTAATTTCGATTTTGAAAATAGCTACTAACTGTCAATAAAAAACCTGCCATCACGACTATTGAAAAATTGTTCTTTATTCAAAATCTGAGCTATAGTCTGTGAAACGAATAACTTTGAATTTGACAGTTCCCGCGGGCTTTTCTAGTGTTAATTTTATTAGGTTAGCCACTTGCAGCCATGCTGACGCAATGCCGTCTCTAATAGAACAGCCTCAGAGCGAGATTTATGGCATCACGCTAGTTAAATACTACGGATTAATAAATATGTTGTAGAATACATGGAAAACATAATAATTCCTCTTATTTTTGGTTTGTATTTTAAAAATGATATAGTTTACATGAAATATACATAATATACAGTTAATAAATACAATATATATACCTATTTATAGTAATAAATACTTTTGCAAATAAACAATGAACCATACAAATGCAGCAAATGTTTAACAATATACAAATAATGAATAGGTACATAAGATAATGGGTAAAATGTAAAATATATTTTAAATTTTGGAGTTTGAAAATCGATCTAATTGAACAAACAACATTCAATATCTACTACTTACTATGACTGAAATCGTACTCCATAGTCAATGTAGATAGTTTTAGTGTTAAGAATAATAATTTTAAAAAATACTTGGTCATCTTTTGACAAGTTTATATTAGTTTATTAATTGCAGTAAACATTATGTGGTGTGTGGTGTGAATATTTTATATGTAATTTTTGGATTATATTCGACATTATTTTTGTCATATGACAACACTGATAAAGGCTATGATGTTTTCTTTTAAACCACGTTTTCTTTAAACCAAAAAAAAAATAATGAAAAAACAAATGAAAACTTAATCAGCGTTTTTTCCGAACCTAAATCACAAGAAAATCAAAAATTTTAGAATAATTTTACATATAAAATGACAGCGATCTTTATTTCATAGCCATCGCTGACGCCTTTTTTTCTATGATATTGTATTATTTGCAAATATAATATTTCGAACATTGATACTTGCAAAATATACATATACATTTTGTGAATGCAAATAATAATACATCACTATTAGTAGATGTTGAATGTTTTTTGTTAAATTAGATCGATTTTCACACCCCAAAATTTAAAATATATTTTACATTTTACCCATTATCTTATGTACCTATTCATTATTTGTATATTGTAAAACATTTGTTGCATTTGTATGGTTCATAGTTAATTTGCCAAAGTATTTATTACTATAAATAGGTATATATATTGTATTAATTAACTGTATATTTCATGTAAACTGTATCATTTTTAAAATACAAACCAAAAATACGAGGAATTATTATGTTTTCCATGTATTCTACAACATATTTATTAATCTGTAGTGTCTCACTAGCGTGACGTCATAAATCTGGCTCCGAGGCTGTTCTATTAGAGACGGCATTGGTCTGATATTTAGAAATGTCAAAAGCTGATGACATTTTACTTTTGACAATTGTGCTGGTTTTTGCAAGAAGAGGAAGAACTGTCGCTTGTTTTATTATTTCCCTTTTCTATTTCACGAAAGTAAAAAGAGTTACCTATCTGATTCGTTCAGGAACTCAATTTAAAGAATATCAGTAACTTTTTTGATAGAGGGATTTTATATTTGCCCTGTTGATAAAAAATAACGGTCAAAATTCAAAGTTATTCATTTTATAGACTATAGATAGGTATAGGAAACCCTAATATACTTTGAAAGAGCATTTAAATCTACTTCGATTTATTATAAAAAATACAGGGTGTCGTATTTGAAATAACGAAGTTTTTATGTAAAATAAATCCTTAAATTAAATCAGCAATTTTTATACCCCTGTATAAATTTAAGGAATCAATAACATTTTCCAGTAAAGTTTATTTCTTTACCATTAAACTCAACACAAGAATTAAATCTGAAAAGTAATGTACAGGGTGTTAATAATCTATTCTATTGTAGCATGCAAATTTAAATATCTTTAAATATCTCAAAAACCAAAGATTTTAAACATATTAACCCTTATAATAAAGCCTTATAATAAATATCTTTTTCTGGGCCCACGAATCCAAAAATTAAATAAAATACCGGGCGTGTGTGTTCCATAAGAAAAAATATAACTTTGGTATGGATCTTAGTTCTGAAACACCCTGTATATTTTGAAATAATTTTAAATTGTTCACATTGCCTCCCCATATATACCCATGAAATATTTTGTTTCTACATCTTTCCGTTTTCGTATAATCAACCAAGGCGAATGAGGTGCGCCACCCTGTATAATAAAGATAATATATTTTATATTTATAGTTTACTTAACTATGTCAAAAATAAGTGACTACATGACTTATGACCTTTATACAATACAAAACAATATATTTTTTAAAGTTTAGTTACTTATTTATTATTATAAAATATAAAATTTGGTTTATAGGTCAAAAACACGAATCAATTGATTAATACCATACACAATGTACCGGACCATTGCACGTACCATCTAGAACGTACCTTCTGAATATCAAGTATATGACGAACCTTATATAAATTCCCAAATGTAATAATTACTTGTTAGTATGCTAACAAATCCCTGCGTGGGCAGACAATATGAAGGTAAGAGTAAATTTTACTTTCAGCAAGTGAAATCTACACATTCCAGAATTTTAATATTCGATTTTTCTATATTTTCAGATATCAATTATTCTATTATTTTTGTGTGCTTCCTCATATGCCGAACTACCACCTCCATATCACCGACAAGGTTTTCGACCCAGTCCTCAGTTTACTTCTCAAAAGTTCCCGGAAAGAACTTATGGTCCTCCAAGTCAAAAAGTAAATGTACTAGATTTGAACTTTCCGTCTAGAATAACCATCGAGCAACTAATTGGAATTACGGAACAATTACAACATTCCCGGCAGAAAGTTGTAAATAGACCACATAATTCATTTACACAGCCTCAGTTGTCGTATGGACCTCCTAAATCAACTCAGTTATCTCAACAAAATCAAAACAGGCCGATAAATTTTGGAGGTTCTCTACCCCAAACAGTTTATGGACCACCCAAACATCAACAATTACCCTTACAGACAAGTCCAAATTTACAACCACCGAGTCAACTTTACGGAAGGTCTCAATCTTTTGGAGGCTCACAAAGCGTACCGCAAAATTCATATGGAGCGCCAGCTGTTCAACAGTTGCCTAGTTCTTTCAAACCATCAAATTTTGGATCTTCTAATATAAACAATCAATTCCCGTCTACAAGCTATGGGACACCTGATGTGCGAAACTTAGAAACATTTGGAAACATTCGCAATACCTTATCTGATGACGACATATTAAGGAAGAACCTTTTGAATGACTTGAGAAAACAGCATTTGCCCTATAAACCACCTTCTGGCTTTAGACCTCAAAATAGTGGAAATTTGGGAAATAATAATATTGCAAGCGTTGCACAACAATATATTCCAACGGAGCAAGTCAGTGGGACATCAAGTCAAAATACTCAAAGTCCAATAAACATTGATCTGCCATTGCCCAACCAGTTTCAAAACCAAGCAGCCAACAATAATAATGGTGTAGGTACAAGTTATTTGCCTCCAAGTACTACATCAAAACCGACTGCCGCATCAACGCCTAAATTAGCTAATCCACAAACAATCGGTACAACAGCTAGAAGCCCCAGCTCGACCAATTACGACTATGATTATGAATCTCAAGTAAGTTGATAATACATATTTAATAATAATTTGTTACTAATTGACAGCTAAGAATAACTTATTACATAATGATTTTTGACTTCCATTGTATTATTTTTGATAGTACATATAGTTCTTAAAGAAAATTCAAGATATTTCGCCAATGAAGCAGAGGTCTAAAAAAAAGTTATTTTCTTATTGTACAGGGTGGCTCAAATTCGACGCTTTTAAATGGAAACGCCCTTTTCTATAGGAAATAGACGAAAACTAATATCGGTGTCTGGAGCTCAATTTTCATCAAAAACATGATGGCGAAAACCGCACATCAGTATCTGTTACCGTTTCGGAGTTACAGAATTAATTAATTAAATACAGAATTTTTAAAAGTTTGCTACTTTTAACTAGCAGGCTTTGGGCCCCTTATTGATGATATGTCCTTAATGGAACTCGAAAACATATTTTTCCAGCAAGTCGACGCACCGCCTTTGAACGCTGAAGTTAGCAGCAAATTTTTGCAGCCAATTTCAAGAATAATTGAATAGCTAACAAAGATCCCAGCCGTTGGCCGTCGAGGCCGCCTCACTTAGTGCCCATGGATCTAATCCTATGGATATATTTGCGGAAGAATAAAGATTCCTTATTCTTCCGTATAATCTAGACAAGAATTAGAAATACTTGGCAGTTATGAGAGGGTATCTTTCACCCCCACTGAGGTAATGAATTCCGCGAGAAATGTTCAAAAACTGCCCCGTCTGTCCATAACAGAAGACGGTCGATATGTCGAAAACCTGTAGCAAAATATCATGTCTTGGTTTGCCGTTTATTTTTATTGTTATTAGATATACCGTATGATCGAAAAAAAACGGCGTCCAGTTGGCTTGGAAATGACGATTGATGACATTTCCCATATAATTTTAGATATACAGGGTGTCCCAGAAATAAGTGCAGATATTTTAACTGGTAGTATAGTTCAACCCCAGAAACACGCCTATGAGGTTTTTTTTGCGAAAAAAAAATGTTGAAAATTTAAAATTTTTCTTGACATTTTCCGGGAAATTTGAAAAAACTTTTTAGTGCCACTTGTTTATTCACCTGAGATTTCTCTACGGTGTATCTAAACCATGCAGTGTTGTAACCTCCTATGTTATCCACATTCTACATAGTTCTACATTTATAAATTCATAGAAAAATTTCTACTCAAAAATTAAGAATGTTAAATTTTTATCAGTGCTCATTATTAATAATTATTATAGAAAAAAAAACACATTAATTATTTTTAGTACTTACCCTTTCAATGAAAACTTAACAAAAACCACCGAAAATTAACTAAAACATTACGTTTATGACGTTTACGAAAATGATTCATCATATTATTCACAACCAGGTCACAAAAAAGAAATTCCTAAAATGTTTCTGGTAATTTAGAATTCAATATTTGTTTTCTTTCGTGTTTCTGTGTTTTATTTGAACACCTTGATTTACAAAACACCTTGAAAAGCGCACATTACTTTGAATACCGTCTCTTATCGCCACTTTACGAACTACTTTCAATTTAAGACATCTTTCACTCAACAATTTTAAATACGTATTTAGTTTTTTGCTATTTTTTCGATGTATTTTGACAGCCCGACCGTCGCGCGTCGGCCAAGAGTGCCACGTGTGAACTGGTCCTTTGAGCCGCGCCGTCGTGGCAGGCTTGCGTCAGACGACGATGTTAAGCAACGTTGCCGTAGTTACAACAATTTCAAATTCAAGAGATTCGAAGCAATCAAATTTGTATTAAATTTTAAAAATAAAACAGAGAAGCATGAAAGGAAACAAACAAAACGAAAATGAATTGATTATTCGTCGGGCTGTTTTCGATATATTGAATTTTGAATTACGATAAACAATTTAGAAATTTCTTTTTTGTGACCTTATCAATAATCAATTCATTTGTGTTTTGTTTGTTTCCTTTCATGTTTTTCTGTTTTATTTTTAAAATATAATAAGAATTTGATTGCTTCGAGTGTCTTGAATTTGAAATTGTTGAAACTACGGCAACCTCGCATGACGCAAGCTCGACACGCCGGCGCGACAAAGAAGCAGTGAGCAGTTACCAACCAGTAATGCGTGGCTGTCTTGGCCGACGGGTGGTTGGGCTGTTGACGGAATTGTCGAAATACATCGAAAAAATAGCGAAAAAGCAAAATACGTATTTAAAATTGTTGAGTGAAACATGTATTTTCTTAGATTGAAAGTAGTTCGTAAAGTGGCGGTAAGAGACAATAATTCTCAACATTTATTCATTCAGAAAGATATGCAAAGTAATGTGTAATGTGTGCTTTTCAAGGTGTTTTGTAAATCAGTGGTTCAAATTGTGATGAAGCCTATACGAAAATAATGTGTTAAGTTAAAAATGGGGACTGTTATTTTAGCAGTTTTTATAATAGCACGTACAAGTAAAGCAGCACAATGGAGTGTATTTAGTTAAGCGTGTATCGAAAAAGAGAACTGTCGCAGTTACATCGATCTGTCATAAGTATCTTTTTTAATGTTGGGTAAGTTTTTTTAATTTAACTTTTAAACATTTAACTTTTAATTTATTTTATGTAATAATATCACAATCTTAAAAATGTAATGCATCTCTGCAAACTCCTCAGGTGTTGTGATTTTATGACTTACTTGTAAACATATACTTTCTTGTCCATATGGCAACACAGTGCGTCGAATTAACTGAAATCCGGGCTTGATCCGGGTAATTGAATGTAGTTGGCAATATCTGCCGGCGGTTCTCAAAATGTTGCGATTATTTTTTTAAATTTTCAAAGTTAAATAACTCAGTTATTTTCAATTTATTTTAAAAATGGTAAAGAGAAAATATGTTTATTTTGACCAGATCTACCACCTCTTAAAATATCTGCACTCATTTCTGGGACACCCTGTATAATGACAGCGATCTTCATTTCATAGCCATCGCTGACGCCGTTATTATTCGATCATACGGTAGTTTAAATGTGTTGATGTTGGTTAAATATATTTTAAATTGTTATAAAATTCTGCATCTCTCATAGCAAATATCATTTTAAAACGAAAATGATATTTGCTTGCTAGATGGCTATTTCGTTATAAAGTTCCGCCCCTGGGTACCCACTAACGAGGTTTTCAATGAAAGGTATCAATCGATTATCGATGTATCTTATTTTTGATGAGGTCTATTTAGTTACAGAGTTCCTGTACAGGACGTGTTTTCACAGGAGAAATAAAAAACCTTTTCAAGTTAGCTCTATTTCTATTTATTGTAAAAAAATGTCCACGCAATAACCAAAATAATTCGATTTTGTCTTACAGTAGGTACCATAGACTATATAGGTCTTTATTGAAATAGGCTATAAATATTTTTTGCCAAAAATTGAACTTACAAGCTTTTCAATGTAAAATCGATATGGAAGTCAAAACTCATCATTTTATATTTAGATGTACAGGGTGGGTCAAATTCGACGCTTTTAAATGGAAGCACCCTTTTCTATAGGAGATAGACAAAAACTAATATCGGTGTCTGGAGCTCAATTTTTATCAAAAACATGATGGTGAAAACCGCATATCGATATCTGTTACTGTTTCGGAGTTACGGGGTGTTTTTCAAAAATATGCATTTTTAACAAATCGCTGTAACTTTTTTGCTATGGAAAATTTTGTATTTTTATGAAAACATTTCCAAAGCACCTTTTTACGTAGAATTTAATGGTTTAAGTATAATTTTTTTAGAATAAATAATTTAAGAATTATGAACAGAAAATTTGATTTTTTATATGAGACACCCTGTATATCTTTAATTTATTGAAAATAATTTAAAATTACCTTTCCAAAAATATAACACACTTAATATTTTGCTCGATTCCTCTTCGAGATATAGAGTATACAAAAATTCGCCCACTTTAAATAAGTAGGCTTTGAATGGCACCGGCTGTAATGCAAAAAAATTCTAGCTGTGAGCATCAATTAAAACGAAAATAATATTTGCTACGAGAGATGCAGAATTTTATAAGAATTTAAAATATATTTAACCAACATCAACACATTTAAACTATATCTGATTACAATAAAAATAAATAGCAAACCAAGACATAAGATTTTGCTGCAGGTGTTCGACCGTCTTCTGTTGTTATGGACAGACGGAGCCGTTTCTGAACATTTCTCGCGGAATTCATTAACTCAGTGAGGGTGAAAGATACCCTCTCATAACTGCTAAGTATTTCTAATTCTTGTCTAGATTATACGGAAGAATAAGGAACCTTTATTCTTCCGCCAATATATCCATAGGATTAGATCCATGGGCACTAAGTCAGGTGGCCTCGACGGCCAACGGCTGGGATCTTGGTTAGCTATTCAATTATTCTTGAAATTGGCTGCAAAAATTTGCTGATAACTTCAGCGTTCAGAGCCGGTGGGTCGTCTTTCTGGAAAAATATGTTTTCGAGTTCCATTAGAGGTATATCATCAATAAGGGGTCCAAAGCCTACTAGTTAAAAGTGACAAACTTTTAAAAAAAATGTATTTCGAAGGGGAATATAACAAAATATCAAGTGTTCTATATTTTTGGAAAGGTAATTTTAAATTCTTTTCGGTTAATTAAAAATATAGAGGGTGTCCCAAATAAAAAATCAATTTTTCTGTTGATAACTCTTAAATTATTAATTTAAAAAAAAATTATACTTATACCATTAAATTCTACGAAAAAAGGTGCTTTGGAAATGCTTTCATAGAAATACAAAATTTTCGATAGCAAAAAAGTTACAGCGATTTGTTAAAAATGAACATTTTTGAAAAACACCCCGTAACTTCGAAACGGTAAAAGATATTGATGTGCGGTTTTCACCATCATGTTTTTGTTGAAAATTGAGCTCCAGACGCCGATATTAGTTATCGTCTATCTGCTATAGAAAAGGGTGTTTCCATTTAAAAGCGTCGAATTTGACCCACCCTGTACAGGGTCCGGCAATAGTGCGTCGGGCATCTCTAGCTCCTAGAATAAAATACTTGGGAATTTTGTTTAAGTACAAACCTAAAGTATGTACTAGAATGTATTTCGGGAAAATATTTTAACCTCTACAGGGTGACCCAGAAAAGTGTGAGTGGATCGGGATGATTTTTGTTAAATGGAACACCCTGTATATTATTGCATTTTTGGCTTCCTTTCTGATCACTTTACATAGTTCTAAGATATTTTTGAATATGTTTTGTTAGTTTCAGAGATAATAATGAATAAATAAAAAAAAGATTCTTAAAAAATATTAAAAATACAAGAATTGTCCTAAAATCAAAACTATATTAGATATTTACTACTCTACTTACTCTATTTACTTTGCTATAAATATCGTAATCTTAAATCATACAGGGTGTTCAAAATTCTACGTCAAACTTTCTAAAATATAAAATATTTTTTCTTCGTCCTCCGAAAAAAATCATCCCGATCCACTCACACTTTTTTGAGCCACCCTGTAGAGATTAAAATATTTTCCTGAAATACATCTCAGTACGTACTTTAGATTTGCACTTAAACAAAATTGACAATTTATTTATTCCGGGAGCAATAGATGCCCGACGCCCTGTATAAATTTAAAGGTACATTCCCTGTCAACATTAATTTATATTCCTCTCAAATTTTCTTTTTTTTTGGACGGAGTATTAATGAACAAGTGCGAAAAAAATCAGAAAGTTCATTTTTTAAAAAATAATGTTTTTTTTTTCAAACGTCACATAAGAATAGGATTCAAGGGTTACTTTTACTCAAGGGTGAACTTTTACTCATGGGTGAACCAAAGTCATAAAATTATGATTTTTTTTTAAATGGTTTTGATGGATTATCTATGACGGGCTATTAATAAGAATATTATATCTTTTAAATATTGCAATAAATAATGAAAATAAACATAGTGATATATATTTTTGAGAAGCTTATAGCAAGCCAGGTCATATGATTTATAAATATAAAGAGTGTTCTATTTAATAAAACATAAATTTTAGTTCATATCTTCAACAATCTTCTTTTCGTAGAATAACACGCCACTGACTATGTCAATGCATTCTACATAAAAAGTTCTACACCTTCTCTAAACTTATCACAGCTTTCTCGAAGAATTTTTGACCTTCTCGATACCTTTTACAATAATAAGGATACAGAGGGTGTCCTATATTGTAAAATTTTCAAAAAGGCCCTGTTAGTTCAGTCATTGGGGATTTTTGCTGGGAAAAAAGTCCGGAAGTCTTGCAACTTTGCAGGTTTATAGGTTTTGGGGTCCCTAACTAAAATCCATAAAATGCACATTTCCATCTTGCCAAGATGGCGCCCAAAATCGGTATTTTGTGAATATCTCAAAAACTATGCGTTTTTCGCGAAAATTTGAGCAAAAAATTAAAGAGAATAAAATTTCCTATAAAAAAGGTTTTATGAAAATTTTCGCTAAAGTCAACCGTTTAGGCACAAAATTCCCTGGAAATTTTACAATTTTGCGTAAAATATGATATATTATGTATTTATGTATAGTCGATTTTCCGAAATCAAATGTCGACTAGGGTTCACTAAAACTAGTTTTAGTTTAGTTTCTTCAATTTTGTCATAAAACAGTGGCGTATCATTAATTCGCTCATTAATTTATGAATAATTAATTTTAATTATTGAAAATGTGTACTTGTTTCCACACCACCCAAGAGGTGAAGTATATGGCGCGTTTATTTTAACGTGGTCTCCCCGGAGGCCTACTCCACTTCTTCTGCTTCTTCCTGTGCCTTGTGCTTAGCCGCACGTTGGCGATTGTCTGTACTCTTCATACAATGTGTAGAGTGCCGTTTTCGGCTCTTCGAAATATGGTGGCTGCGTCGCTGATGTTACACCAATTCCGTATGTTTCTTAGCCAGGAATGTTGTTTTCTTCCTGGGCCTGGCCGTCCCTCTATTTTTCCTTGTAGAATCAGCTTAGGAATGTAATATTTGTCTCCTCTAAGGATATGGCCGAGGTATGAGACTTTCCTTTCTTTAACTATATTAAGCATTTCTCGTTCATAGCCTGCAGTTCTTAAAACTTCTTCGTTGGTTGCATGTGCGGTCCATGGCACACGTAAGAGTCTCCGGAGAGTCCACATTTCGAAAGCCTCGATGCGGTTCAGGGTTCTAGCCTTGAGTGACCAGGTTTCTGCGCCGTATAGTAAGATGGGCCATATGTAGCATTTCACTACCCGTAGTCTAAGTGTTAGAGGGAGACTGCGGGCTAATAGGAAGTTTTTAAGTTTAAAAAATCCTCATTGCAGTCCCATCGTTCATTGATCATGGCACCCAGATATTTAAATCGTGAAACTCGCTCTATAATATTTCCATTCACGGTCAATGCGGTGTTGATTGTAGGCTGGCGTCCTATTACCATAAGTTTGGTCTTGGCAGCATTGATTTTAAGACCGAAACGATTTCCCATGTCCCCTATCTTATTTATTAGTTGCTGGAGATCCTCTAAAGTTCGTGCTAGTATTGCCGTATCATCTGCATATCTTATATTGTTAATTGGAACTCCGTTAATCTTAATTCCTCCACTTTCTCCTTCCAGGGCCATTTGAAATATTTTTTCGACGTATATATTAAAAAGTATTGGTGACAGTATACAGCCCTGGCGGACTCCTTGACAGACATTGAAGGTGTCTACTCCACTAGATAAATTAAAAACTTTAACTTATCTGCACAAGCCTGACGGATCTGGCTCATTGATGCCAAAGTCGATCGTGTCTGCTGTGCTGGGCTCATCACGGTGGTCTTTCAATACGTCCAACTCTTCATCTTCAGCCGCCAGAGGGATATCTACAGGCAAGTCCAACTCCTCTTCATCGGATTCGTCGAGTGACACTTCAGTGACGTTGTTACAGGATTTCCCATTGCAGTATGCACAAATCATTGAACATTTTAATCCTGCTTTTCTGCATCCGCAGGCTTTACCGTAGTTGTTGGTTTTGCATTTACAGGATAAAAATGCCAACAGGGATTTGGGAGCTGGATCTTTCAACGTTGTGACTGGAGAAATGCTTGTTTTTGTTTTCTTCCAACCCCATTCTTCGGCATCTTTGGTACAACCAGACCAATGCTGAACCTGGTGGTAAGTTCGCAATGAATGCTGTCCAGCACTACAATTAATTATTCATAAATTATTGAGCGAATTAATGATACGCCACTGTTTCATGACAAAATTGAAGAAACTAAACTAAAACTAGTTTTAGTGAACCCTAATCGACATTTTATTTCGGAAAATCGACTATACATAATATATCATATTTTACGCAAAATTGTAAAATTTCCAGGGATTTTGTGCGGTTGTACGGTTGACTTTAGCGAAAATTTTCATGAAACCTTTTTTATAGGAAATTTTATTCTCTTTAATTTTGCTCTCCTTAAATTTTCGCGAAAAACGCATAGTTTTCGAGATATTCACAAAATACCGATTTTGGGCGCCATCTTGGCAAGATGGCGGCGCCGGCGGCAAATCTGGCGTGCAAATCAATGTGCGTTTTATGGATTTTAGTTAGGGACCCCAAAACCTATAAACCTGCAAAGTTTCAAAACTTCCGGACTTTTTTCCAAGCAGGCCACTTTTTTGATCCCCAATGACTGAACTATGTAGCTCAGAAACGAAGAGGGCTATGGAAATTTTTATTAATAGCATCTTCCATTTGAGAAAAAAGTGGGTCAGCTTTGTGCAAATCGCATATCCTTCTATCTTCACTAATAACGGAGACACCGTATATATGATTTTAACCAAAACCCTGTACTCTAAAAAAATTTTAAAATAAGACTGAAAACTTGAGGAAATAGGTAAGATAAAGTTGCCTTCTGTACTACATATTTTGTAATATTGTTGCTTTAATAAAAAAAAAGAAAACAACGAAATGTAGAATGTGGCAATACGTTTATAGCACATTTAAATGCATTTTGCGCCTTCGTTGAGTACGCGCCTTAAAATTAGACACAAACGAAGTAGATTCTTCTCTATGAGCATAACTAAATTAAATCATCATTTTTCAGCAGCCAACGGAAGCGCCATCGACACAAGATGAATCTGAGACAGGACCAAACATCTCCATTTCTACTGCAGTCGCCGGCGCCGGTACGGGTGGTTTCTTCTATCTACAACAACCTGATGGCAGACTGCAAAGAGTAACATTACAAAAAAGCCAAGAACCCAATAGCAAGCCAGAAGAATTTGTTGCAAATTATTATTTTCAAAATATTCCAGCTCTTCCTAATACGCTTTACGCACCCTTGATAAACTTGGGCGCATATGTAAAAAAATAGAAAAAATAAATAAATTACATTATCTTACGAAATTAAATTATTTTAAGGTATAACGGATGCGTTTCAAAAGTAGCTCACCCCCTGTAACTTTTTTATTCTTTCAGATAAAGAAACGAGATTTGGTATGTTAGTATATGACATAAATTAGGATTGATTGACGTATTCAATTGTTTTTGGTCACTTCCTGTTTCACCGGAAATGACTACAACTTTTGATTTTTAAATGACACCCTCGGTATTTTTTTACTTTATTCGATAGAAAATGAAATTCTGAATAGAATGACATATCATATATCAACTTTTGACATTTTCGCTTAATAAAAAATCCTATTTTAAAATTCAATCTAGAGTGCCATGGCTATGTTAAAAACACTAATTCTTAATCAAGGAGCCTTGAAAAAATAGATTTGATCGTCTAATGTTTTTAGTGTGTTGTCCTGGCCTGTTAGAAAATGCTCAAATCGTTTTATTTTTAATCATATATCAATTTTTTCAAATGGAACGAGGGTGGCTCATTAGCATATTTGGAAAAAGCATTTTTTTAAGAATAATTTGATACCACACACTTGATATTTCCAGTCAAATTTTTGTTACGAACCGCAAGTTATAATTTCAGATAAACCATATACAAAAATGTAAAAAGTTGACATATGATATGTCATTCTATTCAGGGTGTTATTTGCTATCGAATAAAGTAAAAAAATACAGAGGGTGCTTTTTAAAAATCAAAAATTGTAGTCATTTACGGTGAAACAAGAAGTGCCCAAATAAATAAAAAATATCAAAGTTGTATTTTTTTAAATGGAACACTCTGTATATTATTAAGTACATTTTTAGTTTCTACGATTAAATAAAAGTGAATTTGATTAAGGTTTATCACACTTAAACGTTACCATTTTTGAAATATTTTCAATTTTGCGAAATTGCAGTAAAAATTGTAAGGCTTCATTTCTCCAAGAGTATCAAAGTTTTTAATACTAAATATTTACTTAAGATTATTTACTGATCAGTTATTGTGTTGCAATAATAAATACAATACTACCTCATACAGAGTGTCTAAAAAATTATTTTAAATAATTACTAGCTTTAAACGGCAATAACTTGTTTAATTGAAATGGAACATCCTGTATATTTTAGAAGAATCATATGCACAATCTAATTGTCTATGAAATTGTATTATACTATTTTTTACCTATCCCTTCAAGTTTTCGTGAAAATGTATTTTCTTATAATTTAGACCTCATTTATGGATATTAGACCTCACCCATGGAATATTGACATTTTAGATTGTTTTTAAAGCAAAAAATGTACAAAATTTACAGGTGCTATAAACAATAATATTACTAGCCCGTTTGTATACAAAAAGAAAACTATTTAAATCGTTATAAAAGAGGATACCATTAATTAAATATACCACCATTATTTCCGCCCAAATGTTAATCAGTTACATACATAATTGTTAGTACCTATACATTATTCTAAACAAATGTGGATTTGAATTAGAAATAAATATAATAATAAGTTATGAAAATGAACTTCTCTGTTGTTATAAATAAGCATTGGTCAAAAAATCAAATAAAATTTTTAAGGTGTTACTTTTTACCACACTGTCTAAAGGCCGGTCCAGACACAACGTCTTATCGGACGATAAACCGTACAGACAAAACGTACAAAAATTAACGCGTCCACACGTTTCCAATTAATCGGTCCAATTTTAGTGGATTTCATTATTTTGGCGCGTTTTTTTTGTACACAGTGCGCAAAGAGTTAAATTTTTCGGTTACCGTCTCCTTGTTTGCCGTTTCATCAATTTCCTTGTATTTTTCAACCATTATTTCATATGCTTGTGACTTCTTATTGCGATCACTATACTCGGGACTTTTAACTTGCCACAAACAAGGAAAACTACGATACCGTTCAATAAATTACCTTAAAAATGGTCGGGAACACTGCCGAAGATCAGACATATTGCTTTTTTTATTTATTGCAACAAATACGCATACACAAGGCAACAAAAATTGCGTAACTACTACGAGTATTACGACGAAAATATACTAAAATAATTTCCAATAAAACGGACGTTCGTTCACACGTTCCAACTTGTCGATACAATTTTCATAAAATGATGCCTCGCGCTTCAAACTTTCGACAAAGACGACAAATCGTACCTCAAAACCTATTGCGATCATACAAGACGTACGTTTTGTGGTCCACACGCGCCGTTATACTTGATACGACTTGTCTGATTCGATAAGTCGTACGATAAGACGTTGTGTCTGGACCGGCCTTAATACACATACAAAATTCGTTTTTTTAGTATTTGGAGCAATTATTATTAATCAACGCAAACAGTCAATTAAAGAAGCTTGAATAGACGAATCATTAATTGGTCCTCTAACAAATACTTAAACATTTTTTTTTATTTTTTAATGAAATAAATGAACTATATCGACAATATAGTATATGTACTGCTCAAAATTTGTTACATCTTTAAAAATAATCTAAAATGTCAATATTCCATGGGTTTATTGATAAATGAGATCTAAATTATAAGAAAACGCATTTTCTACGAAAACTTGAAGAGATAGGTAAAAAATGGTGAATACAATTTGATAGACAATTAAATTGTGCATCTGATTCTCACAAAGTATATAGGGTATTTCATTTAAATTAAACGAGGCGTTTAAAGCTAGTAATTATTTAAAATAAATTTTTAGACACTCTGTATAATTTCATATAATTTTTATTATTGCAACACAAAATTTAGTAAATAGGAATACTTCAGTACAATATTTCGTTTTAAAAGCTTAAATACGCCTAGAGAAATGAAGCATTAAAATTATTACTGTATTTTGACAAAAACCTAAATAGGTATTTCAGAAACGGTAAGATTAAAATGCGGTAAACCTTATTCAAATTTACCTTTTTCAATTGTAGAAACAAAAAATGTAATAAAATATACAGGGTGTTCCATTTAAAAAAATACAACTTTGATATTTTTTATTTATTTGGGACACTCTGTATCTTGTAAAAGTATTTTTAAATTGTAGCTCTAATAGTCCTTCAACAAACCCAAAACTTACAATTTACAAAAATCTAATCGTTCAGCTACAATACTCCGTGTCATATGTGGTAAACAACCCTGTAAAATAATTATTAATATTTATTGCCCTCTTTTCGAGCACATAGCCAAAATATAGTTATTAGAGTAAAGACATAAAGGATACAACTTTTATTACTTATTATAAAACATTATTTTAACAACAATTTAATTAATAAAGTAAAAAGATTAAAAGTCAAGATTGACTTGCTTGTAATCTGAAATCTTGAAATCTGGTAATCAAATGTTCAAAAAGTTGATAAAGTTACTCATTACTATACTACAACTATGGCAACATCTTTGCCTAGATATTTTAAGCATGCTTTTTATATGAGTGTATTATATCACAATTTTTTCTATTAATAACAATTTGAAGGCACAAAATTCATCAAAAATTAAAAAAGGTTTAACAATCTAATATCTAAACATGTAAAATCATGACAGTATCAATTTCTTTGGAAAAAAATTCAAAATATTATTTTAAATTTGTCCATTAATTTGACAAGGTATATTTTATGTATAAAAATATACTTTAAATTTAAAATGATTTGGTTAGGCAATCAATTTGCATTGTTATGTCAGTAAATTTTGCAAAGAATTAATTTAACAGTTAATTTAAATATCTAACAAAATCCATAGAAAATATTTTATAATCGGAGAATTTCTAGTCACAACAAATATAACTTAAAATAGGTACCATATTCCCCTCCTCCTCAGTGATCAACCATAGTCCTAATCCTCAATTTAGCTGCATTTGTGTCGATCAACTTTTATAAACCATTAAAAATCAAGAGAAACTAAAATTGTATCAATTAATAATTTTTTACATACATTTATTCAATTTTTCTTACCTCATATTTTATGTATGTGTGGATAGGACTTCAACAATCAATTTTAACATTTCTAAATCATACTTCTTCAAACTAAGGCTGATTAGAATGGATTTCTGTATCTTCAGTTTCTCAGAAATATATCGGACAGCTACTTCAGCATCAATATTATCCTGTCCCAATATATTTCGTATATTATATACAGGTTCTACATCAATGATGTTATTTTGAATTTGTTCAGCTTGTACTAAATACAGATTACCAATTTTGTTAAACTGTGTAATTATATATATTGTACTGTTTTGAAAATATAAAATAACGAATTCTATGGACACATCTTCAATATTAATGGCAAAATTCTTAATTTTACCAGAATTTTCACCCCTTAAAGAATTTTGGACTGTGTCTACTAAACTCATTTTTATTTTACTTAGCCTACCATAGAATATAGCACAGCTAATTTTCACCACTTCAATAAGTGCCACAAAGCTAATTATTGAGTAGTAAGTAAAATATCTAGTACAATTAAATAATAGTACAGTTTTAACTAATTTTAGGAATACGGAAACAAAATATCTGACAAAACTATTTTAAGGTTAGTTAAAAACAATAACAAAGTTTTGACATTTATTAAATTATAGGGTTTTCAGATTTGAGCAGTGTTGCCAACTCTGGAAAATGGATACCCGCTAGATTTGTATATTAAAACACCGCTAGAATCCGCTAGAAGGCGATAGTTCGCCTATTTTTATTTTTGAACCTTTGGGCTTTAATCACCTGATGAGATAAATTTAAAGTGACTTCGAAGATTCTACGTACGTGTTATTACTGAGGCAAATTTTGAAAAAAAACGTTGCGGAATCATTTAATTTATTTTTTACAAGAAGTAGAACCTAGTTTATTACATTAAGTTTTTTTACGCTCGCATCCCTGCTTTGGCAATGATTTTTATTCATCGTCAAGTTTTTAGTTCTCATTTATTTAACCTGCAACCTGCAGTACTAATTATATAGTTATAAATAATCTTTTTCACTGATCAAGAATTGACGAATAGGCTGGAAGATATTCAAAAAGTGTAAAACGCTTAAAAACGTATTAGGGAAAACATTGACTCGTTCACAAATTCGTGAAAATAAATTAGTCCAGATGTTTGTAAAAAGGTCTCTAATTATTTTGAGAAGTTTCCTCGTATAAGTAATTTTCAGGTTTGTAATATGTGCTATATGATAATAAATAGATTAAAACTTATATTTCAGGAAACAGCGCGGGCATTATAGATTGTTGTAAATCAGTTTTAAAATATAAAGAAGGTTTAAAACAGGTTTAAAAGTTGAGTTAGTAGAGAAGACCTAAATAAGGTAATGTTGGTAATGGGACAAAACATCAAATAACACTTGAAATATATAATTATGTACAATAATTGCAGAAGTAGTTTTATGAATCTGTTTGAAATCTATTGCATTGTTTTACATTTCTTGAAATATATATTTTTTTACTTTACAGGACACAAGAATAATAAAAATACAGTTACTCACTAAAAGCACTTAAGGTTGGTAATAGATGTAGTTAGAATATCAAACACCAAACCAAACCAAAAATTATGTTTTATTTTACTGGTATTCCTCACATTTGAAGGAAAAGTCATTCCATAAATAAGCAAGGACATTGTATAGTACACTCATATAATAATAGGTTTTATCCCATAATTGTTAGTTAACGATCACTTACCTAGGTATAAAATTTTAGTACTGATTAACCTATAGTTGTGGTTGTGATATATTCTGATGTGTTTCTTGGCAATTTAAAATAAGTTAATATTTAAACAAACATTTCTAGGCTCTCTCCTGACAGGAGTGTGGACACAAATTTAATAAAAGGTATAATGTGGATAATGTTCTAGTTATTACAGTTTGCATGGATGTTTTTTGTATGTTGTATTTTTAATAAAGTATATTTAATGAGTTTTGAGTATTTCTTTTCCTTCAGCCAGAGGATTGTGTTCTAATCTTTATATATTATAAATTTTCATAAATTATATCTACAAAATTTATTACCTTATAATTTTTTGCTAAATACTTTGTAGTTGATACAGTTTAACAGTATCTAAAGAACTATTTAAATAAGACGTTTGAAAATATATAGCTGTTTTTGCACACATCAATTCAATTTGTGATTAACTGTACTGAAATAAAAACAAATTAAGAGAAATGGGGTGATCTATCAACTATAACATGAAAAGCATCATCCTATTTCCAAGTCTTCTATTAATTTCACTTATTAAACAACTATAATTATTCAATAATCTTGATAATTCTAGGAACTCTCAGATATCGTCAAAACATGAAAACAAAAATTTACTTCCTATAGTTCTTACGTCCCTTTAACTGAAATATAAGACACAGGGGAGTTAATATTCTCACTGAGAAAGTTTATAAAATACCTTTAAGTAAAATCTCTTCGGATCTGCGGTAAAATACCTACATATTATTAAATAATTTCAATAATCTATGTTTTTATTTATGACAACCACCTAATAACCTAACTTTAACGTCAACTTGACAATCATGAAAAATATTATTGTTAACCAAAGAGTAAATCAATTTCTGAATTCGCTAACGCCAACTTATTTTTGATTAAAAAAAAATTACCAATTTTCGTAACTAGGTCGGCCATATTGAGGAACTTTTAAAAGAATAGTACTATATTATTATAGGGTTTTCAGATTTGAGCAGTGTGGCCAACTCTGGAAAATGGATACCCGCTATATTCGTATATTAAAACACCGCTAGAATCCGCTAGAAGGCGATAGTTCGCCTATTTTTATTTTTGAACCTTTGGGCTTTATCACCTGATGTGATAAATTTAAAGTGATTTCGAAGATTCTACGTACGCGTAGAGGCAAATTTTGAAAAAAAAACGTAGCGGAATCATTTAATTTATTTTTTACAAGAAGTAGAACCTAGCTTATTACATTAAGTTTTTTTACGCTCGCATCCCTGTTTTGGCAATGATTTTTATTCATCGTCAAGTTTTTAGTTCTCATTTATTATACGTAATTCACTATCGAAATGGTTGTGTCTTATTTCGATATATAAAAACCTCCCTACATTCGATCCAAATAACCACAGAATACAATAACCTTAACAAATAACCATTTGATTGTCACTGTCACTGTCATAAACTGTGATTAAAAAAACAAAATAGGTATTTGAAATTACGTTCCAAATATAAATCCATTTAAAGCCCTTATCTGATTATAAACAATATACGGTTTCTGTGTGAATATTTATACAAAAATTATTTAGCATTGTATACTTAAAGGTTTCCTGCAACTAGGCTTATTAATGATGATGAAAATTAATATTTCGTATAGAATTAAATGGTAAAAGTCATTGAAGTCATTAACAAAAACGATTGTTGTACCAGCTAGGAGTTGTATCACAGAATTGTTTGTGGTTCTATTTTATCTTCTGATTTGTTGATTGAGATATACCTAGGTAGGTATGCTTAAGAACCATTTCATTCTCTTATGATTGTTTATTGATCTATATTATTATATTGTTTCAGGAAATGTCTTTGGTAAGAAATGTTCGAAAGAATGAAAATTATTTTGGTCAGGTGGTTATTGGGCCTCCTGGTAGCGGTAAAACAAGTTATTGTGGAAAGGTCTATAAATTTTACAAAGAAAAATTAAATAGGGAAGTTGAAGTTGTGAATCTGGACCCTGCAAATGAGAATATGAACTACAGTCCTAAAATAGATATTATGCAGCTTGTGACGGTACAAGATGTTATGCATAATTATAAGTTAGGTAATTAAGAAACATTCTTTTATAATACATTGGTTTCTTATTTATGTTTTATAGGCCCAAATGGTGCATTAATGTACTGTATGGAATATTTGCAGGAGAACTTTGACTGGCTATTACATCAACTTCTTCAGATTAAAGATAGTTATATTATATTTGATATGCCTGGCCAGGTTGAACTTTATACTCATCACGAATCTATTAAGAAAATATTTGAAAAATTGGAGAAATTAAATTATCATTTATGTGCAGTACATCTGATAGATTCTCATTATTGTTCAGATCCATCTAAATTTATATCAACATTGCTTCTTTCATTGTCTACTATGATGCAAGTTGGCTTACCCCATGTAAATGTACTGAGTAAAGTGAGCTAAATAGAGTAAAATAAACACCTTGTTTTAAATAAGATTATATTATAGGCAGATTTGTTAAAAAATAATTCATCAAAGTTACATTTTGGTTTGGATTTCTATACAGATGTTCTGGACCTCGAGTATCTGTTAGAAATGCTAGATGATGGACCTTTCACAAAAAAATTTAAAAAGTTAAATGCCGCAGTAGTTGGACTTATACAAGATTACAGTTTAGTATCTTTTATTCCTTTAAGTATCAATTCAGAAAAAAGTTTATTAGAATTGAAGAATGCTATTGATAAGGTAAATTATCTTTCTCATATTAAATTTTAAAAATTGTAATATACATTTTGTAGGCAAATGGGTATATTTATGGAGGAGGTGAAGAAAGGAGTATACAGACTTTACTGTCTTGCGCTGTAGGCGCGAGAACAGAATCAGAACGATTGGACATGGACTATCTTTAGTTACATAATAAAAATTAAAAAAAATATTTATTCATCAAACACTCATTACATATAATATTAAATGTTTATTTTGCTGCTGGTTTTGATTTCTGCTTCTCAAGTTGAGCCCTAAAATAATTAATACAGATATTAAACACAGAATAAGTTTAAACCATAGTATAAGGAAACTAGTAGTTTTACTCCTTGTCGAATCCTTTGTTCTTTTTCTGCCACTTTATATGACCTTGTTCTCGCCTCCCGTGACCACTGACGTAGCTGTATAGTCGTGGTCTATTAACTAGGCAAAGTATAGTCGTGGCACTCGCCATAGTTTCACAGATATGTATTTAGGAAAATGAGTTCACAATAAAATAAAATCAAAAAAATTATCATCGAGTAAAAACTTGCTTGAAAACAGAATATTTTCACATTTCGCGTAGGTAAAAATTCTTCTGTATCTGAAAATCTTCTGATTGGAAGAAATGCGGAAAAAAATATTATTATCTATTTCAGAGATTTTCTACAACTTTTTTTTGATTTAAAACAAGTTGAATTTTCTGTACATAACTGGATTCGGCATAAAGTTCTGCATATAGTACACCGACTTTATTTAAAGCACACTGCGGTGTGGCCATTCTATTTCTTATTTACTAAAAAACTTTGGTTAAAAACATTATATACGAAAGGTGGTAAAAAACTAGAGTGAATATAACTTTATTAATACCTTAGCTATGTTTTCTTAAACACGAAGGATACCAGAATAAATTCGTGTAGAAAAATTTAGTTTATCGTATACAGGATATTTTTTAAGGCGTCACCAAAATCGTAATATTTAAAATATTGTATCTCATTTTTTTTAAATGCAACACCTTATATATTATTTTTCTTTCAGATGTAGAATTAAAAGGTAAACATTTTTTGTATTTAAAGTGTTCTTAAATTTTTAGCCGTTTTGCAAATATTTTCTGTATTTCATTACATATGGGATTTCCAAGGATAAAATATCAGACAATGATCATATTAAGTGGCTTTGATAAAAATTTACTGTTTAAAGAGCCATATGTAATATAATACTGCGAATATCTGCGACCTGTTAAAAATTTAGAAACCCTTTAAATAAAAAAATGTTCACTTTTTAATTCTGCATCTGACAAAATAATATACAGAATGTGGCATTTAAAAAAACTTGAGATATACCATTTTAAGTATTACGATTTTGGTGACGCCATAAAAATTACCCTATACAGGGTGTCCCAGAAATGAGTGCGTAATAAATGAGGCTCCAACACAGCAGCTATGCTATCCGGTGAAATAATCCTCTTTCAACGGTAAAATGAGTGCGAAATAGAATAATGTATATAGAATGATGTAAAATAATTAAAAAAAAAATAAAACTAACTTCAAACCATAACTTTTTTGTGACACCCTGTATATAACAGAATATTTTAGGATACGCCCCTTTATAAACCTTGAAACATATGAATAAAACTTTTTTCACATCTTCGACAACGACGACGATATTGGACTTCCTCGCACTAATGGGCCACCCTGTATTGGTTTAAAGCTAGGTGTGGCACTTTTCTTCCCTCAAATATAAACTTAATATTTTGTCTATAATATTTTGAATATTGTTATATTACGACCACTTATAATAAAAAATAAATAATAAAACATAAAAAAATACAGTCCACTAAATTTATAAGAGATTATGCTATTATAAAATTCTTTCAATTAAAAAATATGAATAATTTGTGGAGACTTTAGATGTACAAAATATTTACTCTAAAATTGTTTCAAAAATAAATCTATATAAATTATCTCGTAAACTATTATTGGAATGAAAATTTTATGGCAAATCCCCTGACCAAAAAATATTTTCATGCGCATATTTGAGACAACATGTATATCTAAAAAACTATTTTTAAAATCTGCCCACATGCTAAAAAAAATTACTTAATTACATAATATCTCAGCTTCTAAAATAACCAAATATAATTAAATGTTAATTGATAATTACTATCAGCTTGCCGATTTATATCCGATGAATATCTAAAAAACTCAAAGAACAATTTTTTGAATTATTACTACAATTAATAGCAGCACACAGTAATGCACTCATTTTTTATCAATCCGTCTCTGTGCTGGAACGCAACGCTCGAACCTCGCAGCTCGACGGACGGAATTCAACTGAAACACTTTGCAACCTGCCGATATTCGACAGCTTGCAAAAACTGGCAGACAATATTTGCGAGAGTGCAACTACTCTTTTCCTTAAACTATGTTAAAACTATAACCTTGTTAAATTAAAATCACTACATATAAGTAATGTCTATATTTGCAGTCGATATTATTCAAATTTTCAAAATATATTGATTCAAACAATACAGTTAAAAATAAAATACCTATTTGGTTTTTAATTTTCCTTGTCGACTGTTAAGCAAATTTTTGTGTTTCAAGTTGAAATTTTTTTCTCTAGCTTTTTATATAAAATATGTATGTTATCTTTTTATGGCAATCCTAAATATTCCAGTTAGCAAGTAATAACTAATAACACTACTTTTAGTGACTTACTTAGCAAAGTAAGAGTTCTGGTGGTATAATTTGTTTTAAATAAATAGGCAAATAAATATATTTTTTTAAAGTTGAGTATTTCATTAAATATTTAAATAGAGAATATTTGCTAACCATTTAATATCAAGTATAGTTTATTCGAAGTCAGTTGGAATAGATTGGGTCTCAATTTCGGCACTGTCTTTGTTGGGATAAGGGAATTAAGAGTCTAAGTACTTACAACTGACTTCGGAAATACTATAACCCAATTTTGAAAAAACTTTACTGGGTTGTTCTGAAAATGTTACCTTAACTGTTTATTGAAGTCGTCTTCAATGTTATCATCCTCCCAATTATCTTCCCATACACTGATATCCTGATCATCTTTTTCCTTGCCTGTCCAGTCTAAAATTATTGAAGGGTCAACATTAGTCAGGATAATTTTATAATGGACATCTTAATATACCTTCCACTGGAAATTCTTCAAACTCATCGTCTTCCTCCAAAACTCCAAGATCTAATTTTGGTTTATCAGACATATTTTACAACTTTAATCTTCAGATGAATTTATATTTAAAATGTTTTCATAAAATGAGAGTCATCCAACGATTCAAAATTGGTAAACAAAGAAATATAGCCAACCTAAAATAATAAAATTTTGACAAGGCCGTCGGTATGTCAAATCTATAATTTATCGATCAGTGGATAGTAGTGTATGAAGAATTTGTTTTTTAAAATCATATCAGAATCAGAGATATAGACTTAAGATCAGAATGGTATTGTTGCATATTATGCAATATATTACGTATAAAACGTGTCTTTATCGAATAAAAATGTTTGATCAGGGATGGCCATTCCGTTTTTGACGCTTATACCTTTGCTTATACTTCTTAATACATATAAAATGTAAGAAAATATCTATCAACAAAATATAGTGGTCTGTTGTAAGGTAAGTGGGTAAAGGTGTGGATCAGGATCCTGTGTGGATCAGAGGTGTGGATTGTGGATCCGCTGGCTGACCTCAGGGGGGTGACAGTGAAATAGGAAAATTGGAAACAGTCATTAGTGTCATTCCTGTCATTCTCCTCACGACAAGTATGGCCGCCTAGACAAGGACAGCATTGTTTTTGTCTAACTATTGTCTAACTTCACAGTTTAGAATTGACAGATTTCAGTTTCAGAGACAACTTCAGATTTGTTCTAGAACAAATTCGAAAATATTCGACGCCATTTTAATTCATTCCGTTTAGTTTCGTTTTGGAAGTTCAGTTTAATATTTCGGTTGAAATTTATAAGTATAATGGTAATAAAGTATATAAAATATATATTACATGAAGAATCCTGGAGAAAACGACGTTTCTGCAGTAGTAGGTATGTCCCATGTATATGAAAAATAGGTAGTAAATAAACACTGTTTTTTACATTTTTAGATGCAAGAAAATGGTGTTATAATATCTTTGATCGGCGATTTTTCTGAAAATGGAAGCAATTTACAGCAAGGTAAGATCATTTTTAACTATAGCCAACATTAGTTATCTCCAGTATGTGCGATTTATTGTCAATAATGCAATAAATCGGACTGATAATCTGATTATGTTATCCGACTAAAAGTCTCTTTGCTTCTTTTTGATTTATAAGCCAGGCCTCTTTGGGAATAATGGACGCTTTTTTAAACAGTATATTTATATTTTATACCTATTGATATTTTTACATTGTTAATTTTAGTATAAAAAAATTGTTTTCTGTTTTCAGGTTTTTGTATAAGGCTCCCGTTTTCATGTTCGTGTGTCCGTTTTCTGTCCTTGAAGTCTGCGAACACGTGTGTTTATTTACAAATTACTGTAAGTCATGCTTATACCTTAACTAATTTACGTTAAAAGTACATATAATTAACTAATTGGTATTGAAACAATACAATCCTCTATATTTTTATATTTATTTAGTCACGTTGTTCCATATTTCAAATAAATATATGTGAATAAATAATTTTTGGTTTTATTTATGAAAAGTAAAAATACAAAATACATTTGAACTGAAAGAGGACCCGCCATTGAATAACCGGAAACGGAAATGAAAATTAAGCCATCATGTCTTTATCATGTCAACCTGTCAATTGGAAAATTAGTTCTCCAGACGACAACGAAGGCTTTCGGTGGCGTATCGTGTTTCTACGATTTAACACAGAGTTGACACTTCTTTCTAGTTAATTATTTTATGGCTGACCTTGAAGCCTGTATTTGCTGCATTTGATCATCGATACTACGGAGGCGCACATCGTCGATGTTGCCATATGGCAGTTTATTTTCGAATTATTTACAGTAGAAAACAAATTATTTTTTGAGTGTTAATCAGTAATAACTCTGGTAATAATACAAATTCTATAATTCATTTTATAATTTCAGATTTATCTTGATCAAAACTTAAGGTAAGAAGGATAATGGAGATTGTGAAGTTAAGGTATTATGATTGTAATCGGAGTTCTAATTAATATAATATTGTAATAATAATACCATTTATTTATATATTTACAATAGATTTAAAAATTATCATTTACGGATTTCTTCTTATTGGTTTTAAACCTATTAGAATTTTTTTGTATCATCAATATGACACATTTATTACATCCAAGTTGTTACTATAATACCGCATGACGAGTTTTATAGCACAAGTCCATGAGATAGAGGATAGAGGTAACATTTTACCTAGTTTGATTGTATTATGGTGTGTTTGTATCATAATATCTTAAAAATATCAAGTTAGTGGATTAATAGCAATTGTAGGCATATATCGATGAATGCTCTAATTAGATTAAAATATGCTTTATGTTTTATCTTTTTCTCTTTAGAAGGGATATGGTTTGTGTCCTAGAATACATTACAGTATTTAATATCCTGTGCTTTGATATTCCTTTCTTAATTTACTGTTATTTCTTTCCTGTAATACCTAAATCTTGAATATGGTGAAGGTTCATTTTTGATCTTATGAGATTTATACACAGACCAAGTTAAAACTTAAGTTAATATTTTTATCATCATATACAGGGTGTCCCAGGCTGAGCGTGCATTAGAAGTTTTTAGAGAACTACAATATCTAGATCGGAGATTTTTTGCACATCACTGTTTCAGAACAAGATCTATCGATTAAAAATATTTTCAATAAACCTTTTTAATTTTCATTCCCCCTAACACCTGACTATAGGAGCTTCCACACCAACGACAAGGTCTCGCATCTTCTAGAGGAAGTAACTTGACTAACTGAAGATTAATCGGAACCTGTAATACACTGGACCAAAAAAATAAAAAAAAGATAGAAATAGAATAAAATTGCTAGAAAAATGACGTAAACTGCAACACATATCGAAATTAAAAATGTCGTTTATTTATGTTGCAAATGTAAAATAAAATCTTGTTTTATTGGTGTAGTAGAATGGCTTTCCTACATTCGGAAATATTTATCAATTGAGAAGCAATGATTTGTAAACCTAAAAGAAAGATTTGAAATTATAGTTGGAATAATATGATATTAGTGCATATTAATCTACCTGCTCATTTCCGATGTTGTAATGGAATGTCTAATTCTAGGTTCGAACCAATTATCCTCTTTGGACAACTTAGCTAAATCTTGATCGTATTGCCACCATCCGTGATTCATAGAGTTTACTCCTGGGTATCTGTATATATCACAAGGACCTAAGATATAACAAAATTAAATCTATATACATACAGGATGGCGCCTCTCATACGACGCGGAGGCTCCAAGGAGAACGACAGTTTGCATTGAAATTAAATTTTGTGAGCACATGTAGGTTAATTCAGAGCATTTCTTAAAAATATAGACAGTTCTACAGGGTGTGACTTAGTATTCTCAACAGTTTAAGTCGATTACTTAAAAATTACTATAAAATGGACATCGCCGGTTTTTCTCTTGCCCATCATTTATTAATGGAAATATGTGTCTTGAAAAAGTTTATGCGAACAATTTCGTTGATACCCTGTAGATTCAAAATTCGAGGTCTTTCATTAATTATTATTTAATATTTTTATATTTTATTTTCACTTCAAGTTTCATCAAAAAATTGAAGTAGTAATCTATCTACGGCCTAACATTACTATAAGTCTATCCAACGAGAAGATCCTTGACAGTGATAGATGTGTCTGTCATTTTAATTTCAAAGTAGTTTATTTTATTTTACAAAGAAATAAGTTGGTACAACTGGAACGCATAGCAGGAAATTAATATATCTATTTAAAATTTCACTGACAAGTAACTTCAAAATATTGTGAAAAAAACTGTATAAAACTGAAAAAATGTAATCGAGTTATTTTATTTAATAAAAAACGGTATGTGTTAATACAAAACAAACAAAAACAAGACCACCACATACCAAAAAATATAAAAAAGAACTATTTCTTACTTTCAAGCTTGATGAAACTTCCCGCATTTATGATTATATTTATCAATATAACTTATGTACAAATGCAAATTTGTAATATTCCGCAGGAATAAATAAAACAACATAAATAAAACAAACTACTTTATTAAGAATAACACTTACCAAATTTTATACCTCACAGGTTGATTAATTAACTTTAATCTTATTTTTTTTAAACCAGTACCTTTTGACATTATTTTTCTGCAGTAGGTACTAAAATCCATTATTTACCTATCGTGTGATGTCGATATTTTACAGCTACTCCAGTTTTTAGTATGTGTTTAGTATGGTCCTTCCTACCATATTCGAGATGCACTTATCTACGACGAGATGGTATACGAACTTTATTGATAGTAACTTTATTGGTGTATCTGTATAAGACTTTCTGCCTGGGCAGCGAGTATTAACCATAAACTGTGCTCTGGGTTCTACATTTTTCCTCCACTTGACTTCAAAAGACACAAAACACACGTAATAACACGAATCAAAATGCATCATCTTCCAAAACGCAGGGTATTTGACAAAAGTTGTCACAAAATTATAACCTATAATTTGGCAAGACTTTGACAAACGTCAAAAATCTAAAGGCGAGTTCATACGCATCGGCGTCCGTTTGTCGTTCATCGTTCCGTCAAACCAATAAAATTGAAATACGATCTGTCATTTTTGAAATAAACCAATGAAACTGGTTAAAAACAACAAGTGGCGACGCATGACGAATTTATATTTAAACCTATCCATAGTTAACTTAAAAATTATTAGAAACTTTTTTTAGTAAAACAAATAGATTGGTATGGGACGTCATCTGCTTTTCTTCTGTCGTCGTCTGTCGAAATCTTACCTGAGAAAAAAAAAACAGAGTATAGTTGTACAAATCATTACGCCTTGCTAGAAATGTTGACCATATTTACGGCAAGTTACAATTATAGGTCAGTCGGATGTCCTTTATACAACTAAAACCGCTTTAATTAGCAATTACAGCTAATACCGTTAAAGTCTAGAGTAGCCCGGATGATACACTCGCTAACCCGTAAACTCCAGTAATCCGGATGCTTCAAATCAACGGAATATATTTAAAAAAATCCTCCTGTGATAAGGTAAGGTAAATAACAAAGTGATATTATCCTGATAAAACAGGATAAAATCGGTAAAGTCGAATTATCACGTCAAGCGGCATAGGTTTGGTTTTTGTTATTGATTTCATTAATTCTTTTTTTTCGATCGTCTATTTAACATAGTTTTATTATACATGGTGAGTATTAAATAAGTGCAGATATTTTAGGGGTAGTATATTTCGACCTCCAGAAACACGATTAATTTTTTTTTCGTGAAATAAAAATTTTGAAAATTTGGAATTTTTTCAAAAAAAAATTTGAAAATTTTCTTAGTTTTTAGTTAAAAAAACATAATTTATTGAAAATATGACAACATAGGTAGTAGATTAAATTTACAAGAAAGAAAATCCAGAAAAGATCCAGTGGTTCTCAAAATTTTAGCAAAAAAAACATTTTTTTTAGTTGATTAGGTTATGTGATGTTCAAAAAATTAGCCAACGTTTAAGGGTTACTATTTTATAACTTTTACGAATTACCGGTAACAAATGGTTGGGCATAAATAATTGGCCTGTTTTTATATTGCATGGGCAATACAACGGATCTAGTAAATTTGCCCGAAAACAATTCACCGAAGGAGAATTTACCGAAAACAATTGATTGATAAGAAAATTAACGAAAAAGATAGTTGGCCGAAAAGAAAAATCATCGAATTACAATTGACAGAAATAAAAATTTACCAAAATGTCGATTGATTTTTGGTAAAAGATTGCTCTAATACAGGGCGTTTAAACACATATCCATTTAATAAAAATAAATACGGTCCATTTAATAAAAATAAACTAAACAATAACAAAACATGTTCTTTCACCTTTGCCTCTTTGATACAAATAACAGTGGAGTAACAGTTTCTGATATCTCTGTTCACTGTTTACAAATTCTACTTCCATTCTAGGTGTTTATGCGGGATAATGATAGGCACAATAAATACAATTTTCCAGAAATTGACGGGGATGACAATGACAATGGCCTGACAATGATAATGGACAATAATTAGGGCAATCTTCATTTCGGTGATTTGCTTTCGGTCAATTTTCCTTTCCAAATGAAAAATGAAAGGTAATTGTTTCAATTCAGGATTGTTTCTATGTGATAATTTGACATTGATTAAAGAATTGCGATACAATCTAGTTGTAGAGCCAATTGTTAACGCCTTCATGTGTTTATGTATATCGCAGTGGTTTTGCAGCGTCAGTCCAATTATTATATATTTGATGTGAGTGGTCGCAGTTCGAGTAAGTACTGTAAAATGGGGTGAATAGAAACAGTTTCGTAGGCTATTAGCGATATACTGGTTGATAAAAATGTGGTATTATGTTCCCGAATATTTTAAAACATGGGTCTTTGTTTGTTCTTTGCGTATACATATAATTTGATTTTTGAAAAATATGCATATAAATATTAAATAAAAATAACTTTTGTGTTTCTATTCACCTGCTATTCGGGAGAATAGAAACACACATTGACGTTAAGGTTTTTATCTATTCTATTTCCAACAAGGTGATTAGAAACAGATAATTATTACATATTTAAGTAGGTTTAGCAATAATTAACAATACATATAATACAACAATTAATTAACAACTTACATGTACCAGCTCAAGTATTACTTTAAAAATAAATATTTTATTTATAAAGTTTTCGCGCCATACAAAATAGGTGATAAATCGATCTCACATTTATTGATCAGCTGATTGACAGAAAGAGTGCTGCCACAGATAAAAATATAGTTTTTACATTTTATTGTGTATTACCAATGATAGAAAAATTAGATATGTCGACTCTTTTTACTTTGAATATTTTTAATCGTGATTTGATTTTTTTCAGAAATTTTGTTTCTATTCACCCCTATGTTTCTATTCACCCCATTTTACGGTACGTCTCTATCAGTTTCTGTTTGGCATATAACAATATATTACCGCAATATAAATCAAATACGGCACTATCCTTTATTGAAAAGGAGTTAATACTTAGTTACCTTGATTAAATGTGCAAAACCTCTGTGACGAATCCAAATAACTCCAGTAAATGAGGACCACAAACCGCAATGGTTTGTATCTACTGTTGGTTTGATAATTTTTACTCGTTGCCTCACTGCAATTCGCATCTGTACATAAACATCTATCTGAGGTATAACTGGGTAGCTGAGTTAAACACTGTTTTCACTACATTAATTTAGCTTTCACTACATTAATTTATTATTATCGCCGTTAGGTATATCTCTATTTTTGCAAATTAAGTCATCAAGAGCCCACATTTGCCTTTTTTACATCTACAACATTTTTAATGTAATTTGTTCAATTATTCATGCTAATAATTAATTGTTTATGGTATTGCTGAATGTGACAGTTGCCGGCAAAAGGATTGCATTATATCTTGTGCTTAATTCTATAGCATTTAGTTTGTAATGGTAGCAATGATAGGGGAGTAATCTAGTCCTCCATAACTTATATTGGAACTAATGTTGACAATTGCTAGTAGGTTTTTTATCGTACTATCTTTGTCTACCAATTTTCATAATTATTTAACCAGAATCCCAGATGGTTTCAAAGTTTGTGGAAAATGGATTTATACTAATCTAGAATGGTATGATGTCTTATCTAGTACAAAGATGGATCCCCACCAGTCGCATCCACTGCAGATGTGATCTCATCCTTCAGTGACCTGTGCAGCAGAACGATGTTGCAGCAACAAATTTTAGGAATTTAAATTTGAAACAAGCATCAATCTATTATATTTCACAATATTTCGCATAATGGAGGGTATACTGTATTTTATTTCTACGCTTTAACCTACCTACAGGTTTAAATATATACTTTTTTCTCATTTTCATCAATCTATCATTGGATCCGTACGCATACCCATCGGCAGGTCCCAAATAACAGTCTACTTCTTTAATCTTTTCAGAAAATGATCGCTTGTCCTCTAAAAAATTTTATATTTATACTACGAGCATCTAATTTAGTTAATTTAATGTTGTAAAAAATCTTACTGCTGTTTGCTTCCAAATTACTTGAATCCGGCTTTTCCGGTTCTCTGTAGTCCTCTCTAAGCATATCTTTAATAGGGCTACTGAACCCATAACTGGTGAGTCCGAAGAATTCCATAATAGTATAAAATATTAAAATGTCACTTGTCAATTTTGAATTGCGTCATTTATAAGGCATGAATACTAGTGAAATTAAACAGAAATTTTTTTTTATAACTTTCTGTTCAACTAAAACATTACAAGAAAATTGTTCCTCGTGCAAATCCAATCTTGTGTTTTTTATGCAGTGTCATAGATTAAGGTCGCATCTTGCATCACATGAGATTTCTTTATACCGGGTGCATCTCAAAAGTGGCTCACTCCTATAACTTTTTTAGTTGGATAAACGAGATTTGGTATGTTAGTATATGACATAAACTAGGATTGATTGAGGTATTCAATTGTTTTTGTCACTTACTGTTTCACCGGAAATGACTATAACTTTTGATTTTAAATAGCACCCTCGATATTTCCTTACTTTACTCGATAGAAAATGACATTCTGAGTAGAATGGCATATAATATGTCAACTTTTGACATTCTCCCTTAAAAAAAATCGTATTTTAAATTTCAATCTAGAGTGCCATACTATGTTAAAGACACTAATTTTTAATCAAGGAGCCTAACGGAACCTTCCCTATCAGATCACTGAATCATCGAGTTCAAATTAGGAGGAATCATACTCCAAACGGAAACTCGAAGGAATCCGAGAAGAACCGATTGGGAACTATACCACACCAATCTCGTAGACAACCTTGACCAAATAGATGCAGGTAGGGCTACGAACCACCTGTATCTAGAATGGTACGCAAGGGAAGTCAGTGGTGCAATATTGGATGCATATGAATCTAGTTGCCCCACAAGTAAGTGCATACAAAAAAGTAACAACAAGCCCTGGTGGAACAAGAAGCTGGTCAATCTTAGATCGGAGGTAAATAGCTACACACCATCTATTAAACATTACAAGAAGCAGCTTAGCGATGGGATATATGCCAACCATCTGGAGAAGAGCGAAAGTAATCTTCATACCCAAAATAGGCAAAACTGACTGGGCCAACCCCAAATCATTTAGGCCTATTAGTCTCACATCGTTCATATTAAAAACGATAGAGAAGGTAGTGGACAACCATATTAGAGTAAATCATCTAAAGGTTAAACCACTGCACGATAGTCAGCAGTCATGCATATAGAGCGAGCAGTTCTACAGAAACTGCTCTGTACGAGTTAACTGAGCTAATACAGGCAAGCCTGAATATCAAAGAAACATCACTTTGTGTCCTCTTGGACATTGCAGGGGCGTTTGACAATATACCTCACGAGCTGGTCAAGCGATCTCTTGAAACAAAGGGGTGAACAGTACGATAATTCGCTGGTTTTGGGAAATGCCCTCAACACGAACAGCAGAAGCTGAGAGAGGTACCAAAACTGTAGTTGTTAAAACAACGCAAGGAACTTCACAGGTGGAGTGACATCCCCCTTACTGTGGAGCTTGGTAGTGGATGAACTACTGGAAGAATTAACTCTAGCGGGAATACACTGCATAGGGTATGCAGATGACATAGTCATCATTGCACGGAGGAGACATGAAGGCACCCTGTGTGATATACCAAAACAGGGACAGGGATAGGAGTATTTGGGCGGAAAACCAAATACTCCGAACCAATGGGCACCTACCCCAGTATCCTTCAGGCAAAAATTTACGCTATCGAAAGATGCGTACAATTTATCTTAGATAGGAACTATCGAAAACATGAAATTGCCATCCTATCTGATAGTCAAGCAGCACTAAACGTGATCAACTCAGTAACCATCAATTCGAAGTTGGTCAAAGAAGGCCTTTCTACAATCAAGGAGCCTTGGAAAAATAGGTTTGATCGTCTAATGTTTTTAGTGTCTTGTCCAGGGGCGCTATTCTGTAAAATCGTCGGTATCGGTAAGTTACGACAGCTCTCGATACGTATTTGTATATAGTAAAAATGTGTTAATTGTTGTTGTCATAGTTACCGATCGGTCCTATGGCAGATATCGCAAATGTGTACCGACGAAAATCGGTATCTCTACCGTGCCCTTGTATAACCTCACGGTAGAGATACCGAGAATCGTCGGTACAAATTTGCGATATCTGTCATAGGGCCGATGGGTAACTATGACAACAATAATCAACACATGTTTACTATATACAAATACGTACCGATAGCTGTCGGTAACTTACCGATACCGACGATTGTACAGAATAGCGCCCCAGGCCGGTTAAAAAATGCCCAAATCGTATTTTCAATCATATCTCAATTTTTTCAAATGGAACGAGGGTGGCTCATTAGCATATTTGTAAAAAGCATTTTTTTACAAAAATGTCAAAAGTTGACATATGATATGTCATTCTATTCAGAGGGACATTTTCTATCGAATAAAGTAAATAAATACCGAGAGTGTCATTTAAAAATCAAAAGTTGTAGTAATTTCCGGTGAAATAGAAAGTGATCGAAAACAATAGAATACGTCAATCAATCCTAATTTATGTCATATACTAACGGGAGGCACGTATAGCCGCCCATACTAAAATATGTTAATATCACGAAAACTGCGACTTTGACTGATTTTGATGTTATTACAAGTTTTGTTGCAAATATTATTCCTAACCTTAATTTGAAAACCGCGTTTCGCTAGCTACTGTAATTTTGGAGTTACGATTTTTTTAAATTTTTAACCCCCTCCCATACCCCCTTACCAACCCCCCACCCTCACCAAAAACTAACGGCCAGATTGTCGGGTGCCGCATTATTTTTGTGCCAAATTTGGTTAAAATCGGTTCAGCGGTTTTTGAGTTATCGAGTTACAGACGGCAGACGAACATACGGACAGACAGACAGACAGACACCATGAAAATATTTTGTATTTTTGGTCATTTATGACCCAAATAACTCATTTTGAGTGAAATTTAAAAAACTTTTTTTTTGCCGATCCTAATAGCCTACCATACCTATTGGTATGGTCGGCTAAAAAGTTATAGAGGCGAGCCACTTCTGAAATGCACCCGGTATATTCTTTTAGGTGAAATTTAACTTTTGTTTTGCTTTGAACTGGATTAAGTGAAATAAAATATTAGCCTAAGAGAATGAAAGTGATTGTGAAATTACAACGTTTTATCATCAGCATCATCATCATCATCATCATCATCATTATCACCATCATCATCATTTTCAGCTTATTCAACCATTTCCAATTATGATAGAGCCTCCCTCAAATAGTTAGATACTTTCTTTGTATGCGGGCCCAAGTCATCCCTGCTAATTTTGCTAATATTTACAGTCAACACACCTTATTAAGTTGTCAACCTATAGGTACAACCTATATATAGGTTTCCATGATTTTATCATTGTCAAATGTAAGTTGTTGTGCTGTCTACACGACTCCGATATATTACCTACGATTAGTGTCCCCGAAATGTATTTCTGTAATTTAAAACTGATTCGAATGAGGTAAAAGCCTAATATTTAGAAAATACAATTTGACATTGACAAAATTATAGGATGACTTAAGATACGTTGGCATTTGCCTGGTTTTGCATTTTTACCTGTTCAGTTTTAAATTATAAATAGATGCAATAAACCTTTTAAAAATCTATTTACAACTCCGCAGTAAAATTAACAGGGGAGCCAATATCTGGACAATCCAAAATTTGCATGCGATTTCCTATGTTTCCACTCGGTATAATATAATCACGGGGTATATCTATGAATATACAGAGTGTCCCAATATTTCGCGGACATAGAAGTACTACGTATTATTGGAATCAAAATAAGTTTATTGAACACAAGTTGCCTCTATACCAAAGAGTTTCGTTTGTCCGTCAAAGCGCCACACACTTTAATAAAAATATTATATATATTTAGGATACAAGTGAGTTAACAGCATCATTAAGGTACGCGTGTGACAGTTTCACGAGTGCGTAGCACGAGTTGTGTAACCACACAAGGTATCTTAATGGAGTTAACTCGCGTGTATTGTACAATATTTTATCTACGTCTAACTACAAAAACACACAATTACTTTTAAAAATTATTATACTTAACTATATACCTATCCTAAAAATCAATTACCTTAATACCTTTGTTCAAATAACATCATGCATGGCAATGTCAATATGACAGTAAATCATATTGATAATAATATTGATCACTGGAATTATTAAAAACCGCCTATCGACCGCCTTCCGACTGCGACTTACCTCCCTTCTAAAGACAGGTTTGAATTCTAAGAACCTCTTTAAAGCAATAAACACTTATGCCCTACCGGTTCTTACATATTCTTTTGGAATAGTCAAATGGACCCATACAGACTTGGAATCCCTAAATCGCCTGGTACGAACAACCTTAACCAAATTTAGAAATCACCACCCAAGAAGCGCTACGGAACGGGTGACCCTCCCTCGAAATCTTGGAGGTAGAGGTTTACTGGATGTTGTTAATGTCTGTCGGGAGCAAATAAAGAGCCTCAGAGAATACTTTTATACCAAGAACAGCAACCTTTACGTCACGGTGTCTTCAGCTGATGTCAAATACACCCCCTTGAACCTCAGTAGAAACAATATGGTGCTTTTCCAACTCCTACATCAATCACTAATAAAATAGCTACTTGGGGAGCCAAGGAGTTACACGGACGGTACCTAAATGAGCTAGATCAACATCACATTGAAAAGGTGGAATCATTGCACTGGTTAACATCGGGTTATCTCTACTCAGAAACCGAGGGATTCATAGTGGCTATGCAAGACCAAGTTATTCCAACACGCAACTACCGGAAACTCATCCTAAAGGAGAATATATCAGACAAGTGCCCTAGATGTGATTCTGGAAGTGAAAACATAGAACACATTTTATCAGGGTGCAGTAATCTTGCGAGTACAAAGTATCTGGAAAGACACAACAGAGTCGCATCAATCATCTACTTGGAGATCCTCAAACAATTCAACATTGACCGAGAAATCCAAGAGCCCTACTACAAATATCATCCACCATCCGTAGTCGAAAATAATAGTTTCAAAATATACTGGGATAAAACAATCTTAACAAATAAAACCGTTAGAAGTAACAGACCGGACATCACGCTTATAAATAAAATTAAAAAAACAGTTT